TAGAGATATACAGACAGACACACACAGACACACACACACACACACACACACAGAGGCACACATTGCGTTGCTTTTTTTCCCCCCTTTCCACTCTCCAACTGAGCAAACCTTCTAAAATTTTGTGTTGTACGGGGATTTTTCTTCCTGTAATTAAACTCATTTCCTACTCTCAGCCCACAACCCACTAGAGAAAACCTTGGCCCTCTGAATTTCCTTTCCCATGCACCTTTGGCAAGGGACACCTGAACCAAACGCTTCCGCCCTTTCCACCTGCCTGTGGACCTGACCTGGCGTGAGTGGCAGTGATCGTTGCAATGAAATGACTTATGAAAGATATAATCATGTGTTAAATTGAATACTCCGTTTAACTGTTAATGGTGTGCTCTGGGCACATTTACGTATTAAATGCTATGGTAACTAATCACCACTCGGAAAAAAGATAATACACTTCCCAGACTTTGAAAAATAATGATGAGAGTTCCCTTCTTGCTTGCATCGTGGCAACTCTGCCTGGCTGAGCGAGGGAGCCTGTACAGATTCAAGGTCTGCCTGTTTTCCAGAAAAGAGGGAGGTAAAGAATCCTGATGGGGAGGCTTCCAAGCTTCCTCTTTCAACCTTCAATGAAAACGAGATTCAGCCTGAGGAGGAAGGGTGGTACGGGGAGGGAAGAACTTAATGACACCTCTACACAAAATAAAATCACATAACCTAGGCAGCAGAAACACAAATGAGCTTTCTTTCAACCAAAATGCAGATCAGACGAAAATCATGCACTGTCAAGGGATTTTCCATCAATTTATAATTTTGTTGTTTTGAGGGCAGAAGAAATAATTGAGTCTGTCTCCTGCAATCTATACCTGCCTTTGTAATTGCTGTGCCTCTGGATTGGCCAAGCCAATGAATTTCAGACTGATATAAACTCTGCCTTTAAGCCAAACAAACATAGACACAGAACGAAGGAAAACGAGGAGGAAGCAATGTCAGTTTCTGAAGTACAAGCAACTTTTAGGATGAGAGAGTTCTTTTCTCTCAAACAGCTCTTTGGTTCTTCTGGTCAACTGTATTCTGCAGGCTGCAGACTGCGCGGGATAAACAGGAGTCTGGTCCAGCCCAGGTTGGAGGCAAACCCGAGTACTTGTCACCTAGCCTCAGCCTGTGCCAGCAGAAGGCTGTGCAGTGCTTGCTGGTGGAGAAACCCAAACCGCACAGCGATGTGAGCAACCGCAGAGCTGTTCTCACTCTGCACCGGGTGACGGGGTCGCTATCCCTGGCCGCTGAGCCACCTTTCTCCCCTGCTTCCCAAAGACTGGCATTTCCTGGCCCTCCCTCAGGCCAGCTGTGGTCCAATCTCCAAGTTTCTTGTGAAACAAAGAGAAGTTAAGGGGCTCTTCCCAGGTGTGACCAGAACCGGATGCCCCCTGGGTCTCAAGTGTCAGGCTCTTCCTTCTAAGGAACACCTTCTGCAGCTTAGTCAACCCCAGTTGTTTTGGGAACTTGCCCCACTTTTAAGTCTGGAGGAGTTTTTACTTCCTTATTGGGAAGGGAAACTCTTCTTTCTCCCTGCCTTCTTCAGCAGATTTGCGTGGACTCAATCCTGTCATTTTTTTCTGAATTAGTGGTATTCTTAATATTTTTCTGGATTGTCTCAAATGGGGTGAGGAGAGGGAGGGAGAATTTGTTTGCTGTGTCCCTTTTCTGACACGTTCTCTTGTTATGCAACACAGAAACAAGACAAGACAGCATTAGAAGAGAATTTCAGGGCTGGAAGGGTCAACATGCAACAAAAGAAAGATGATTTTAAATATTGACCACCACTCCAACCCCACCCCTGCCAACGATGTCCATTCTACATGTCATCAGGATGCTTTGATGGGGAGTTGATTTTAATTATCCTCAATATGGCATCATCTCCTTCCCAGCTTGGGAAAGAGTTAATTCTTTCTCAAAGACCGTAGCTGTCCTTGTCTTTCAACCTGATTCACAGATGCAATAAAATATGAAGCAAATTTATGATCTGTTTCAAGCATTTTATTGCTGTATTTTTAAATTCATATATGCACATATAAGAACTATGATCTGTGAATAATTTGAAATGCTATAGTAGAATGATATATTTTAGATAAAACATAATCATATCTTTATATAATTATTACAGATTAAAAGAAAAAAGAAAAATAGATTTCTAATGTGGATCAAGCTGAAAACCTAATGACAGTCATAAACTGCTAACCAACCATAAATTAACATCTTCATCAAATGTTAAAATGGTATCAGTGGTTATATAAAGTAATTATTATTTTTCCTTATAAGTTTTAGGATTAGGTCCAGGTGTATTTGAAGATCTACTATTTACAAATGCTTCTCAGTCTTCAAAATTCATTTTCATTAGGAGGGTGGTTTCAGCTCAAACCTGTCACCCTAATAGAAGATAGGAATTCAGAATTCAACATAAAAATGCCTCATGACCCAACCTTATTTTTTTATTTAACTATCTAAGTATTTGGTGCAAGAATTTCCTTATGGATTCTTTGGGAAGACAACATTTTACCCCTCTCCAGGCGGTGGTGATAATGGTGGTGGAGGTAAAAATGCTAAGCCATACACTGTCA